GTGATGGTTGTTGTGCCAGTCTGGCTCCTTCTGCTCTCGGGCTCTCAGGAGGAGCAGAGGCGTGAGGGCGTGAGGCGATGGGCCATGGGGCAGCAGCAGCAGCAGCGCGGCGGCGAGTGAAGCCGCCTTCCACGCCCACCGAGGGAGGCTCGGAGTGTGAGACTGTGTGTGTGCGTGTGTGTGGTGTAGCGGAGAAAAAAGTCGCGGAGTGTTGTCGCGGAAAAATGTTGTTGAGTGTTGTCCGCCGCGGTTGCGTTGCCCTGCGGTGTGTGTTGGCGCGTTGGGCCCCGTTTTGCCGCCCCGCCCCGGGCATAACTCCGCCGCCGCCTCTGGTGACCGCCTTCTGCCGTCTTTTTCTGCTTGAGGAGGGAAAGGGAGGGAAGCGGCGCGGGGGATTGGTGCGTGTTGGGGAGAAGGGGAAGTTGGCAGTTGTGACTCATGCGCCGGTGTGGTGACGCGGCTGTTGTCACCACGACAGCTGGAGGAGCTCTGAGCACCGTAGGGATCTGGCGTCCATTTGCGCGTGGCCGACCGTACACGCCTGTGGGCACAGTTCAGGACTTTACCGCCTCGCCGCATCACATGCGCCTTGCCGAGATGCAGCGGGAGCTTGACGAAATGAGTGGCAGGCCCCCGACGCACCTCTACGAGGGGCCGACCATCACCACGGCCCACGGCCCTCGTCCCCTGTTTGAGCCTGACGCGAGGGAAGACCCCAGCCAATGCGAGTTGCCGGAGCACTACGTCGCCGCGCGTCAGCGACTGATGACGTTGCAGAGTGACAGTTATGGCGAGTCGATTCGCGGCGTTGTTTCGCCGCCTCCGCCGCCGGATGCGGACGCACCGCGGGGCTATCAGCAGCCGCGAGTGGAGCTGGGCGGCACCTGGTGGACGGCCATGACTGTTATAGCGGCGGTGTTTTTTCTCATGGCAAAGTTTGGGCGCTAGCGTGAAGGTGGTGCCGCGCAGCTTGAGAAGCAGACACGTGTTTGCGGACCTCTCTCTTTCGCTCGCCGCGTGGCTAGGGAGGCGGACGAGGGAAGAAGCGAGGGAAAAAGGAAGGTGTGTGTTGTTTTGTTGTTGTTGTTGTTGTTGTTTTTTTAGCGCTGCGTTTTGCTCCGTTCGTGAAGTACATGCGCCGATACACTTTCCGTTGCCGCCTGTGGGATCTCCCAGTTGGCGTTTGCTGCCCCCCCCTCCGCACGAGTGGGCGTTTTTCCTCACTGCCAATTCACTACTTCCGTGGCGCCGTCTTCTCACTGTGTGTATGCGTAGCGCACGCTGGCAAAGAGAAAAAAAATAATAATAACAGTATTATTTATGGCCGCCGGTATGCTGCGTTTATTGGCGCCGGTTGGGGTGGCGATGATGTTGCGCTGCGGGGGGCGAATTCCGGTTGCCGCGTACGCCACCGCCACCCCCGTGGGTCTCCAGCGCAAGCTCACGATGAGCAAGCGAAGGCTCAGACCGAAGCCGACGCCGAAGCCCGGCCCCTCCATCCCCATCTGCATTCTGCTGGTGCTCATCACGCTGTACATGACGTACATCACGCGGAAATCATCCAGCGACGACACGGTGCTGCGCTGAACGCAGAGTGGGAGGGAAGGCGCAAAGCGGTTGGAGGGTGGTGGCCGGCGCTGATGCCGCTGCGGGGTGGAGAAAGCGGCGGCGTCACTTTACCGTGGTTGCTGTGTCGTGCGCGTAGCCGCCGCCGTACTGTTTCCCATGCATTAGCACCGACCACGCTGTCATGGCCACCACTGTGGGCCTATTTCTCCTCCCCCTATCTTTAGTTGTTGTTGTTGTTGTTTTCTGTCGTCGCGCCCGTTCAGCTCGCGTAGAGGGGCATGGGGCGACGCGGCGTGTGGGCTGCGTTGGCGGGAGTCCCACTCACCCCACAGCGTGCGTGGCGGCGGTGCGCATCCCACCGGCGTGATCCAACCTTGACGCCGCCCTCTCCGCCGCCCCCCTCGGCAGCAGAGGCAGACACGGTGCAGGCGGCAGCAGTCACTCCGCGTCGAGAGGGGCAGGAGCTGCTGCACGCCGTCAAGCGGGCGCTTACCACCTCTGCGAGAAGCCGCTGGAACCGCACGGACATCATTAACGCAAGGGAGTACGCCCGTGCGCACCGCCGCCGGTTTCAACGCACAAATGACGCCTTTCATAGTGCCGGGAAACGTGGACAAACTCTCTCATACGAGGCGATGACGTTGCAGTTCCAGGGAGTCGAGTGGTCCTACGTGCTGCTACCTGCGTGCCTGGCGCTGCTGATTCTCGTGCTTATGGCCCTGGTGGACGGCAGACGTCACACGACGAAGCTTCAAGGGGAGATGGAGACGTTTCAGCGGCGTGCGGACTTTTTGTCATCCATGCGAACTGAAGTTGCGCGTGGACAGGAAGCCGCTGCGTGCACCGCCGAGGAGCGCGGGGGCGCGGTGCTGAGGACGGGCAGTGACCGCCTGCATTAGGGTCAGTTCTTCTTCGCCCCGTAGCAGCAGCGCATTCCGCCGTGGTGCTGAAGCGTGCCGCGTGGTTGGATTGGTGTCTATTTCTCCGCCTCGATCTCACCTACCTTCGCTCGAGGAAGTGGAGGCGGGGGAGTAAGAGGACGTCGTCGTGCAACGTATTGGCTTCTTTTGCATGCAGCGTATTCTCTCTCTCTCTCTCTCTCTCTCTCTCTTTTTCCACCTTCACCTCCACGGCTTTCTGTCTCTATCTATCTGTATATCTTGCCTGCCTGCACGCAGTTGTTGCAACACACAGGCAGGCAAACTAAAAACAGCAACAGTGGGATTGAAGGAGTAATCGTAACCGGGGGTAGTGGAAGAAGAGGAAGCCAGCTGGCATCTCCGCGGCTCCAGTGGAACAAGTAACGAAAGGAAAAACAGGCGGTGGAGAGGAAATGGCGCAGAACGCTGCCGAAACCGCCCCACTCTACTCCACCCTGGACGAGCCCATCACGAGCACCATCGTGCGCGACGCGGTTGCCATTGGCCGCAAGATGCTCATCGTCCTTGCGCCACCGCTTGGGGCGGAGAAGGAGCTGCGCGACTGGGACTTGTGGGGGCCGTTGCTGCTTTGTCTGCTGCTCGCTATCATTCTTGCCGGCTCGGCGGCGACAAATCAGGGCGGTCTCATCTTCTCGGCGGTGTTTGTGCTTGTGTGGGTGGGTGCCGCTGTCGTGACACTCAACGCGAAGTTCCTTGGCAGCAAGGTATCCTTCTTTCAGACGGTCTGTGTGATGGGCTACTGTCTGGCACCGCTTTGCATCGGCGCCTTTCTCGGCGTCGTCATCCGCGTCTTCTGGATGATGATGCTGATCTCGTTCGTGGTCTGGCTCTGGTCCTGCTGGGCGGCCTTGCGCTTTTTCCGCGGCTCTGTCGCTCCCGAACGCGAGATGCTTGTCGTGTACCCGGTAGCTCTCTTCTACTCCTTCATGACATGGATGGTGCTCGTGGGCGTTTGAGAGCGTGGCAGGGGTGGGCGCCGCGTGGTTTGTCGTGCAGTGCGCTTCGACGCGGAGAGCGGCACCGGGGGGGGGGGGGGAAGGCCCTGCAGGAGGGCGAGGGAAGGGCGGTAGCGTAACAGGCATCACGCGTGGGATTTTGTGCGATGAAAAACTGGGTGTATGAAAACAGCAATTCTATCTCTCTTTCTTTGTTTTTGTTTTTTTTGTCGCTCAAATGTTTATTCCGTCCCTCTCTCTCTCTCTTTCTCCCTCTTTCCCTCGCCTTTCTTTTATCACTTCTTCGCTGGCCGGCTGAGCGTCTGTGAGCGGGTTTAGTGCATCTCAGCTGCTCGTTCCAATGGCGGTGCCTCACTCTGTGTGTGGGGCGGTGCCCCATTGGCGGGAGCCTCGCCTTTGCCCCCTCTGCCCCTGCGCTTCCTCTCCGCGTCGCGTTTGTCTTTCCCTCTCAGGCTTGCCTTTTTTCTTGCTTCCTGCCATCGTGCGCCCCCCAGGGGGCGCAGCGGCCGCGCGGAGGAAAAAAGACCCCCCCACCCCCCTCCCCACACACACACACATCAACGGCTGCGACGGCCGGCCCCGGTAGCTGCAGAGACGCAGCTTGCGCCGGCTGTGGGGCTGACGGGCGTGCCGTCTGCGTAGGGCACCCGGCAGCGCCCTTCCAGCGGCTTTGCCATGGACGGGCTGGCAACTTCGTGAGGGAGAGAACCTGCCGAAGGCGCGCCGCCGCCAACCCGCGAGGTGGGCGCTGGCGCGGCGGAAGTGAAATTACCGCGCTATACGGAAGTTAAGACGCGCCGACGACACGCGTGGGGCCACTTCCTGCGCGAGAAGGCGCGGTGTCGCGGGGAGCCGTCGCCGCCGGGAAGCCTGCACTGGGGCGGGTGCACCGCCCCATTGCCGACCGGAGTCCCATGGGAGTTTCCACCGACGCACTGGCTGCCCGCACGTGGTGTGGCGCCGCGCGCGCACGACGGCGTGGTTCACGGAGAACGTCTGCTTTGCCCGCCTCGTCGCGACCGTTTTTCACGCGGTAAAGTGAAATAAAATCGAGTTGCGGGAGGCGAATGCGGGGGGAGCGCCGGTAACTGTGGCCCCAACTTTTCTGTGGTCGCCTGCCTAAGCGCAAAAGTCTTCCATGTGGGTGCAAATCCCCAACAAACCGATTGCGGGTATCTGCACCGTCGTACTGCTTTTGCTGCTGGGGCAACGCGCCACGTCCATAGAGAACGTGAATGCCTCCTGGTGAAGTGGGTTGGGTCCCGTTCTCGGCATACTTCTTCTGAGCGAAGTCCTGCGCTGCGCCGCCCCTCAAGAACGGTCCCAGGAGCCTCCGCGCCGCTGCCGTGTTTGGGAACGCCCCAACGGCTCTGCTCTTTGAGAAATTTCTGGTGATTGACAAGGGGCCGCTCATCCTCCCGGAGACGAGAAATGGACAAGTTACGCACAGGACGGGCAGTGACATCGGCAACGTTGGGGAGTGGTCAACCGGTACGTGGTCTACTTCCTGAGTGCACCCCAACTTCTGCAGACTTGCGTGGGGGACCTCTACCGTCTTTCTGGTTAGTGTGATATCGCTGCTGTGGCGGTGCTCTGCATCACCTTCCCTGTTCGGATTCTCACCTTTTTCTGGCATTTGGCTATACGTGCGAAAATGGCGGCGGTCGTTGACGGTCATGTGCTTGCAACAAGCGAACTACTTCCTGGCACCCGTGTGGCGAAGTTCAAGACGTGGAAGCCATACTTCACGGCGGAGACCGAGTGCACCAGGGCGCAGCGGTTTGCATACCTGCAGCGTATCCACTGCGCAGAGGAGAGGCCCACGCCGTTCGACTGGGCCACACCAATACTCTGGTCATCGCGATGATCCTTCTTCACGCCAGCGCACTGGGCCACGCAACCACCCTCGATGTTGTCTCTCCGGCTGCTGTGCACCATAATGCCCTGCTACGGTGCCTCCTCTCAGCGCAGCGCTCCACTGCGTTGCTGGAGTGCAACGTCAGAGCATTAGATCCAATTCATGTCCAACATCTGCATAGCGACGGCGCGGCGGCTGCCCATTACCAGGGTGACGGTGTCGCTACTCGCACTGCGACGCCTCCCGCGGTGTCGCCACAAGGCACAGTGCTGTTCTGCGGAAGCTGCGGCGTCCGCTCCGCCACCGCACTCTACGGGCGGAGGTGTGGGGCGCGCTGGAGCTGGTGGGGATGCGGGAGCGCGTGGCGGCGGAGGGCGGCGGCATCCACAGCCGCGTGCGGGAGGGCGGTTCGAACTACAGCGTGGGGCAGCGGCAGCTGCTGTGCCTCGCGCGGGCGCTGCTGCGGCGGGGCAGCGGCTTCATTTTGATGGACGAGGCCACGGCGAACATCGACCACGCCCTCGACCGGCAGATCCAGCACACGGTGATGACGGCCTTCAGCTCACGCACCGTCATCACCATCGCCCACCGCCTGCACACCGTGGCGGCGTACGACAAAATCATCGTCATGGACCACGGCGTCGTCGCGGAGTCGGGCTCCCCGCGCGAACTTGTGTCGGACCCGTCGTCCAAGTTTTCGGGGCTTGTGGCGGCGCTGGGAAAGCAGGAGGCCGCGGCGTTCATGGCGAGTGTGGGGGTTGAGACGGCCCCGTAACGGCTGGCGGGTGTGAGCG